TACATTTCTTTGGGGTCTTTTTACCCTAACTGCCTAGCCAATTCCTACCTCCTATTCTTATGCCATCCTTTGAAGGGGTTGCCCAAATTGCCAATAGGGAATAGGGACACAGATCGCTCTGGCTTCTTCCATGCTGAACAGGGACACAGGGTGAGGCAATTGGAGTACCCCTTCAGTGGGTCTATCTAAAAGACTCACAAATTGCATAACTCTTATCTGTAGGAGGAAAAGAAAGTCTTTGACTGGTGAATAGATGTGAAGGAGAAGTAAAGTCGAGAGTAATTAGCATTACAAGTTCTAGACAGGGAACTAGAAAAAAGTCAGAATGGAAAATTTCAAATGAGAGTCCATTGGAATTTCTTGATGAGAGCTTCCAAAAGCATCCCTCTATTGGGTGCTTCCTCATTTTTCTTTTGTCTTCCAAGGCTGGACTCTAGAGTGATGGATTCAGGATTTGATTTCAGATATTTTGATAGCTGTTGGAGTAGTTAGAGTCAGTGTCAGCTCCCTCTCAAAGGCTTTGAGCTAACTGAGGGGTCGCTGAGGTGTATGTATGACCTGAGGGTATGCACACATGACCCAGCATGGGTCATGCCTTCTCTTCCCAGCCTTCTTCAGATTGTATACTTTAGCCCTCCCCAAATCCAGGAGGCCATGTGTGATTAGAGTCAAACCTTACGTACAGTTGGCTGGGAAGAGTGGCTGGATACTCATGTGAGAGTCCAGTGACCTTGCTTGGCACTCCTTTAATGAAGGAGCACAGCTGTCAACAAGCCCAATTGTGACTATGTTTAGCGATTAGGCTCAGCCAAAGTCGTGATGATGGTAGTTATTTAATGCAGAAGGGACTTCTGTATAGCATCATCTTATTAAAAAGGACCTGGAATTTAAAAGGATTTGGTGCTAGGAGCCACATATGAGGGAGAACATATGTCATTTGTTTTCCAAGACCATTTTCATATTCATTCTCTCTCTTCCTCCCTTTCTTCTTCCCCCTCTCTCTTCTCTCTCTCCCTCTCTGTTTCCTAGTCTTTCACCCCACAGGGTTACATTTCACTGCCATGTATATTTGCTGACTTTGCTAATACTTTATAAAATATCTGGCATACATTCTTAGACATATGTTTCCAAAATACTTGTAAGTTATCTCATGTATCCCAAGTCTTCCAAATCCGCTCCCAATATGTGAACCATGGTAACTGGATACTTGACATTATTTGTTCCAAAATTATTTTATTACAAAAGTTTAAAAGAATGTAGCATCTCTCAGCTCATGTAGGAACAGATGCCTTGTGTCTCCCTTGACAACTTATTGGGTCTTTTTCCCAGAAGAGCCAAGGCTGTTGTGGTAGTAGGACTTTTCCTCTGCACCCAGCATGTGGCAGTGGTGCTGAAGCAAGGCACTTGGCCCAAAGCTTTGAACAGTGTCTTCTCCTGCACTAGCACTGCCACGTAGAACAAAACATCTATGCTCATTCCTATGCCATGGTGACCCTAGCTTTCCCTTAAATCCAAGCTTAGATGAAACCCTCACCCACCCTCCTGTTCTCTGGGGTTGCCTGGGAAGGAGAGAAGAAGGAAGCAGTCAGGCAGTTTAGGGTCCTTTGTCTTTAGAAGATACAGAAGAAAAAAGAAACCCAAAAGTGCGCCCAGCACACACATAGACACACATACACACACATGCACACACACACACACACACACACACACGCACGCACGCACACATCTCCACTCTGAAGGGCATAAGTGTTTTACAGCTCAGACTCTTAATTCTGGTGACATGGACACTATCCCTGTTCATTCATTCATGAAGGTTCAATGTGAATCCCTGAGTTTGCAGGTGTTACTCATTAAGGCCACTGGCATGGGCTCCTTGGTCAAATATGTGGGTATATACCACAAACAGGATAGTGTTAGTGAAAGAAGCCATCTGATTCCTTATAAGAGATGACTCAGTGGTTAAGAGCACTTGCTTCTCTTGTAGAGGACCCAGATTCAGCTCCCAGCACCCACATCAGGTAACTCATAACCATCTTCAACTCCAGCTCCAGGGGATCTGATGCCCTCTTCTGGCTTCTGTGGGCACTGGCACACATGTGGTGCACATGTATACATGCAGTCACAAACACATACATATAAAATAAAAATAATTGCTTAAGTGCTCTTAGATGCTGGCAGGTTTTCCTGCATTGGCTCTTTCAGTTTTGTTGTATTTGTTCATTCCCTTATGGCCAAGAAAAGTTGACTGCATTTCTCTCTAACCTCCTTTGATTCCTGACTCAGTACCCAGAACATAAAAAGCCTCAGTGAGGGTGTTACCTGAAATGGGAGAGTGGAAAGGTCTGTTTCATGTAACTCTACCACATACCGAAATGGCTTGGTTCTGGTTTTACATTATAGAAGGAAACGAATCTGTTAATAAAATATTAAATAAGAGACCACAGAGCCACCTACGTAGGAAACCTGGAAAAGGAAAACAGTAGTAAATGAGCCCTGCTCCTATAGTCAGGCCACATAAAGGCCAGATGTCCTGCAGGAGGGCCCACCGGAGGTAGGTAGAAACATAGGCTGTGCTGACTCTCAGGCTCTTTTAATGTTTATTTATTCATTTATTTTTATTTTTTATGTGTATGAGTGTAGATGTATGTAAGTGCACCCATGTAATGCAATCCCTGAGGAGGACAGAAGAGGGCATCGGAACCCCTCGAATTGGAGTTACAGATAGTTATTAGCCACCATGTGGGTGCTGGGATTCAAACCCAGGTTCTCTGCAAGAGCAGCTAGGTCTCTTAACCACTGAGCCATCTCTCTAGCCCCTCAGCCTTAGGCTCTTGTCAGTCCTATGGACACATCTCCCTGAATCCAGCAAACTCTACAGCATCGTGACATGTGGTAGAGAGCAGACCACATGCTGTTAGGCACTTTGAAATGTGTAGAGAGCAAAATGAGAAGCCAGGTTGCAGAGAAATGAAATGTTTCAGTTATCAATTCCTGTATAACAACCACGAAACTTGCAGCTTAAGACCATATACATTTATGCTGTCATGTTTATTATCTGTATTTCTGTGGGTCAGAATCCGGGAGTGACCTAACTTAGTCCTCCACTCCTCCGTATTATTCACAGGCTACAGACAAGATGTGCTGGCCACATGGTTTAATTGAAAATGGAACTGTTTCCCAGCTCATGTGGTATGAGCAGATTCCAGTTGATAGTAAGGTATTGGCCAGTTTGTCATGAGGGCCTTCCCAGCATGGTTCCCCACTTCATCAAAGTGTATAAGGTGACTGAGAATATAGAGAGACTGCTAGAAAGACAGAAGTCTCTATCTTCTGAAACCTAATCACATAGGGGACATGCTGTCACCTTTGTCTATTTCATTACTTAGAATCAGGTCATCATTACATTCATAAGGGAAGGGAGCTACCCAAGGGCATGAAAACTGAGGATGGGAGGAGTCATTGTACACAGTTTTAGAATTCTGCCTGTCACAGGAAATAAGTCCTGGACTGAATGGGATGCTAGATATGTTTTTGCTCTTGATAGTAAACTTCAACAATGCAGAAAGGGTCTCTGGAGGGGGGCAGCTAGATGAGAGGACATAGGATGGGTTTGTGGAGTGAGTTCAAGATAACATGAGGAAAGGTGAGTTCAAGGTAGGAGGAGTACAGGGTGGACAGGAAGTGTGAGCAGTAGAGCCTCGCAGCTAGAAACCGCAATAGCAACTGGAGGTGCCAAGGGCAGTGCATTTTCCTCTTGGGGTGAACATCAGAGACTTCCCTAAATCTCCCCGGGGTACAGAGGGAGCCCCCTGTTGCATTCAACATTTTGTTATGCCAGAGTTGAAAGGACGATCATTTTACCCAGCTCCTAACATGAGCTTCCAAGGAGAATGTGGTAGACAAAGGCTGTCAGTATTTGTTGCTGATCCATGCAAATCTCAGCCCTGCTGCTGCTGTGGCTGTGGAGTTCTGGACACAATGTTAATATCTGACAAAGTTGTACAAAGAGAAGTCTCTTAACTCCAGGTTTTTGTCAGATCAAATAGTGTCTATCCATTCCACAAAGACCATGGCATCAATCCAGCCCTATATTAATTACAATGCCTCATTGTGTTTATCAATGCTTACTTAACATAAATTTTAAGAATGAGACTTTAGCAAAGATGCAATTTCTTAGAATTAATTTCCCCTGTGTAATAACACTGTTCCTTGTTTTGGCAGGAGTGACACTATTTGTGGCTCTTTATGACTATGAAGCACGGACAGAAGATGACCTGAGTTTTCACAAAGGAGAAAAGTTTCAAATATTGAACAGCTCGTAAGTTGGGGAGGTGGGGAACTGAAGCTCACATGCCTTTTGGTTTGGGAAAGTTTTCTTGTGGCAACCTCACAACCTCACCAGATATTTGCAGTTGTAAAAAAAAGCCTAAGCCAGGTGTGGTTGCACACGCCTATAATCCCAGCACTAGGGAGGCAGAGGCAGGCCGATCTCTGTGAGTTCAGGGCCACCCTGGTCTACAAAGTGAGTTCCAGGCCAGCTGGGGCTACAGGGAGACCTTGTCTCCAAAAGACCAAAAAAAAAAAAAAAAAAAAAGTCTGCAAAACTAACTGACTAGCTCACAGAGTTGATGATATAATATGGTATTATATGGGGCAGAATGCTAAGAGAATCTTTAGATCAGAGTAGCAGAGTCTGTTATGGGTTGTTGTTGTTTTTTTTTTTTTTTGTCTTTTAGAAACTACTTTTCTGATTCTTTTTGTGTGCATACATGTATGAGATAGGTATATGTGTGTGGCATTTGCACACATATGTGCCGATGCATGTGCCAAGGCCAGAGGAAGGCACCAGGCATAGTCCTGTATCATTCTCTACCTTATGTCTTTGAAGCAGGGGTGCTTCCAGAATCTGGAGCTCCTGTTTTATTAGCTAGGCTGGCAGCCAACAAGCCCCAGAAATCCTCCTGTCTCTACCTCCCACCTCTATAGCTCTGGGGTTATAGGTTCCTGGATGCTGGGATCCAAACTCAGACACACATGATTATGTAACAAACACTTGACCATTGAGCCATCTTTCCACCCCTGTGATTTTTGACTTGCAGTTTAGTAAAAGTCTTACAAGTACCAGCTTCCAGAACCTCCACTGTCCCCACCGTTTCCACAAATCTATATTCTCAAATAACTGGCACATGGTTTGGCTACACATGTCACATGCTCTCTGCCTTGAGAGTTTCTTTACATTTCAGCTCTTGCACTAGCTGAGCCCTCACACTTCAGGCAGCAAGAAGTTCCTTCTGTTTTCACAACCGCTGAGCATTCCAGTGAGAGAAATGTGGAGATGGTTCCCTGCAGTGGAAATCAGGAGTATCGTGTCTTTGTAAGAAGCAAAGCAGTTTACCCTTTGAGAGTGGCTACAATGTGTGCATTTTAAATGTGACCACTAGCTAACCAGAATATCCCTTCCCAGCTTTGATACCACCAGAAGAAGGTCAAGTGAGGAGCAGATTTCTCTATGGTTCAAAATTATCACCTTTCAGCCGGGCATGGTGACACACGCCTTTAGTCCCAGAACTCGGGAGGCAGAGGCAGGTAGATCTCTGTGAGTTCAAGGCCAGCCTGGTCTACATAAGTGAGTTCCAGGAAAGCTGGGGCTACAGGGAGACCCTGTCTCAAAAAGACCAAAAAATCACCTTTCTTAGGCAGTGTGCATGGATGAGGAAAGTCTGCTCCTAAGAAATGTAGCGTCCTGCCTCAGCAAGCCAGGCACCTCAAGTGTTCCCATGTGTACTCGCCAGTCCTTGGGAAAGCCTGCCACCTGGGGCTGAGGGGCACATCCAGAGGTTCTGTCATGCCACAGAGTCTGATTACTTCTTCTCCAACTTGGTGTAATAGTAGTAGAAGGACTTGAAGTTTGGCTCTTGAGCCCCCTTTGGAAAGATGAGCCTGGGGTAAGAGGTAACTCCACTCACTGCATACATTCAGGAAAGAGGAGGGGATAGCAACAGTGAGCTCCCTGGGATCTGAAAACCATCTCCATGGAAAGCCCTCCCTTCCCTGGGGTGCCCCTGGCTCTCAATATTCAAAAACAAGCCCCCAGTACCTCCCTAAGACACTGGTAACTGCCCTCTAGATGTCAGCAGACACTATATAGCCTTAGGATATTTTTTAAATTAGTAGTATTGTCATCATTAACAGAGGTCTGAGTATTTTTTAATTTATTGAAATACATGCAGAAAGTGCATCAACTGCACCTAGGGATGATTAGACAACAGTGTGATTATTAGCTTACTGTCGTGCAACTTTACACTCAAAAATGATAAAAATGATTCATTCTGTGCTGCATGTATTTTACCACAGTTTTTCAAAAACATAAAATTTGCTGAATTCTCTGAGCATGTCTGTGCAACCAGCACCCAAGTGGGTAACATTATTTACCCCTCCTCAACTAGAGACCTCCTGTAGCCACAAGGGTTTTTTTTTTTTTAAATAGTAAACAGCTGCCATTTATTGAAAGCCCCTTTTGCTGTGGCCATGTGCTAAGTTATAATTGCTTTCATTTGTGCTTCACACCAACTGTCTGAGGTATGAATCACAGTCATCATTTGACATCTGAGGAGCTGGAGGCCCAGGTTAGGGAACTGCCCAAATGCAGAGAGCTAGCAGGTGGCAGAGCCCAGGGCGAGATGGAGGGATCAGAATCCTGAGTATAGTGTCTAGTATGACCTTGCAAAGTTCCAAATGCCACCATCAAAGGCAGCTGAACTAGCTAAGCAACAGTAAAAGGTTTAAAACGTTGGCTTGGAAGTTGGGGGGAGGGAATTTGGCTTTGGTCTTTTCTAATTTATGATTGCTTATTGTTATTTTGATTCTCAGATGAATGCTTCTTGTCAGAGTCTGTTAACTTTGGGTTTTGTATAAACCTCCCCAGTTCATACAGCATTCCCTAATGGCAAAGTTGATTAGAAATCTGAAAGTATTTGAAAGTTCTAGAAGGTAAGAAGTAGGAGCAGGAAGGGAAGAAGTATGTGCAGTTCTTGGCATCTCTGCATACTCACTGGTGCAGGCCAGTTGTCTACTCATTAGGTTGCAGGGCACTGGCCAAGTTAGTCAATGGCAGAGTCAAATTCACAGCGTCTTCCTTTGTTGATCTGGAAAGGATCTACAGTGCCAACAGATTTTAAAGAAACATTTAGAGGGAGGATCCAGTCTGTTCCAATCTATATTTTGATTTGCATGCATGGCTTTCAATGTTTACAGAGGCCTGTGATCCTCTGACCTTGTTGTCCTAGAAGAGCACATTACAAAGGATTTTCCCCTTTAATGTTCTTCCTCCTTACCAATGGAATTCTTCATCCTACATGTCATTTAAGTGCCCCTTTTCAAGGTTATGGAAAAGAAAAATAAGGTTTTTATAGCAAAACGATATCCTGGAGTCAAGGGTAATAACAGGGAAGGGAAACCTGTGAAGGAAAAACAAAGCATCAACCCAGAAGCAGATGGCATATGGCTCCTCCCCTCTTCCCACAGCCACAGCCAGGCTCTCAGGCTGAGAGGAGAGAGAAGGAGCTCTGTTCTTCCAGGGCAACTGCCACACCTACTAGTATGTCCTCTCCCAGCCCCTCATCAAGAGGCAGGAACAAGCCCACAGGGATTTTGTTTAGAAATGCAGCATCTACCATAGTGTGCATATGGGCAAATGTACCCAGAAGTGCGGTTACCCAGCAAAGACAGAGGCTGAGGTTCTTATTGACCTGTTGTTAGTTCTCAGTACAGCGGATCAGGACTTTATTAGATCTAAGCCTACTCTGCACAGTATTTAAGTATATCCACTTTATTCTCTATATTCACACTTTATAACTAGTGACTTAACCATCTTAAAACAACATCTCCTTAAAATGTAAAAAACATTCTACACAGAGTGGAATAGTGGCCATTGCCTGTTTTCTGTCATAAGCAGAAAAAAAAAAAAATGTTTGATCACCCAAATATTTGGTCAAGTTCTTACAGATAGGCTCTCTCAAAGTAAGGACAGTGACCAAAAGCAGAAAGAGTCCAGCGTTTATAACAAAAACTTTCCGGAGCTGGGCACATCAAGACTGGCTGCTCTCTGCAATGCTATTTTCTGCCTCTATCTGGGCTCCAGGGTACCTGGATTCCCACAACCTGGAGCCACAGCCTTCTGAGGGACTTTTGAGAATTAGAGATAGGAACAAGCCTTTAAGTCAGAGGAACAGGAGGCTGTTATAAGAACTTAAAAGCCATTCTCAACCAGTGCCAGAGATTAAGGCATGCATTCGACTTTGACCAATATGGCAGTATCTCACCAAGTGTGAGTTACTGGAAAATCTGAACTGTAAGACTAGTTTAAAGAAATGCAGCTTTATGGGCTAGGATGATGGCTCCATTGGTAAAGCATAAGGACCTGAGTTCAAAACCCAGTGACCACATAAAAAGCTGAGTTGGTAGTACCACTTGTAATCCCAGTGCTGGGGAAGTAGAGACAGAAGGCTCACTGGGCTTGCTGGCCAACCAGTCTAGCAGAATCAGCTAGCTTCAGGCTTAATGAGAGACCCTGTCTCAGAAAATAGGTGGAGAGTAATTGAGGAAGATACCAATGACTTCTTACCTCCATGTGCATGCACACACACTGGCATGCATACCCCAACACACATGCATACACACAGGAACATGTACAAATACCACACACACACACATATACACATACACACACGTACACATACACACACACACACACACACACACACACTGCTGCTGTTGCTTTACTAATGCTAATATGCTACAACAGTTCAAATAAAGAAGTAAAAGGGCATATTAGAGGTCCTGTTCTCTTAAGTCAACATGATATGTAGACGGTATTATTTCTTTGTAGGTAAACTGGTGCTTCTGGTCTGTTGAGTATGCATACATACACACAGCAAAAAAAAAACACACACACACACACACACTGCTGCTGTTGCTTTACTAATGCTAATTAGCTACAACAGTTCAAATAAAGAAGTAAAAGGGCATATTAGAGGTCCTGTTCTCTTAAGTCAACATGATATGTAGACGGTATTATTTCTTTGTAGGTAAACTGGTGCTTCTGGTCTGTTAAAAGGTGATTTATTCACTTGTCTAACAACTCCTAATACATGTTTTGAGGCTTTCCAGACTGTCTAGGCCCAATGTGAATAAAATGTGAGGGAAATGCAGGGAAATATAAGGTTCACTGCATAGTACATTAAGTTTTTATGGCTTGTGTCCCCTTTGATGGAAAAAGTGACCCTGTCTAGCCTAGAAACAAACCCAGGATGATACCTTTCTTGTGAATAACCACAAACTTGTGAGATTAATGGGGTCACATAAGAAAGTCATAAACCCTTGAATAATGACTTTAGAAGGAGCCCATAGTTGGATTCTACTCTGTGTTAAGCTATTTAGGTGCCTAAACCAAAATGAGACAGTTAATACTAATTTGAATTGAAAATTACTTCATTAATGCCAAATCACCTGAAGAGACCGGGCTTGTCCCAACTTGCAATAGACCATATTGGCTTCCTGCCCCTGTTGACATCCCCTAAAATTGATGCTAGCCTTTCTTTTTCTTAATTTAATTCAATTAGAACTAACTTGATGAAGGTTATCATGTATTTAAAAAAAAATAATAAGTCTGGCTGCAAGCACTTAATTTTTTCTTCACCCTTTTGGAGCATTTCCCAGGTTGTGGAGGTTGCTAGGAGATGATAGCTATTAGTTTTTATGATGAAATGTCTCCATCTAGTGGAATTTCAGGGCAGTAAACATTGTCACAACATGAAGGTAGTTTCCAAAGCCTTTTCCTTACACACACATAATGCTTAGCATAATTTCCACATATGTGTTTAGCTGCTAGACTTAAAACTGCGTGTATTTCTTGCCCGGGGTCGGGCGGGGGGAGTGAGGTTTGGAAATGGAAGCAATACCAACTTAAAATGTTATTTCTTTGTTTCCTGTAGTGCTAGAGATGGAACCCAGGGCCTTTTGCTTGCTAGGCAGGCACTCTGCCACATCCCCAGCCCCTAACTCATGAGTTGTTCTACAAGGCAGAGGGACGCATGGGCAGAATGTAGCTGGGGTAGATTTCCATATGCTTGGTAATGGCATAGCTCTTATATTCTGAAGGTGGTTTATCTATGTAAATTATTTGATATGTATGAATATTTCAAATAAAAATCTGAACATGAGCCAAATTTAAGGTTATGATTAGAGGATTTTCTTGTTTGGGGAACTATAGTTTCCCTCTTGTGAATGATCTGTTTGTTGAGTATGGTTAAAAAAGAGAGATTAAGAACTAAGGCATAAGTTTTCAAACCCTTGCCTGCATCCTAGTTTTCTGTGAATTATTCTGTCATTCATGCCATCTGGTGGCTTCCTAAAGTCCCATCTGAGGTCATTGCTCCTTGGTCCCCTTGCTTGGAGGGTTGTGGGGTCTCTCCCTCCCCTCATGGGTTGTTGGCCACCGGTCTACGAGGACAAAGGGAGCAGAAGCAACGAGCAGGGTCAGGACGGCCAGTGAGCACTGACGGAAGAAAGCCCTTCCGGGGAGGCAGGTTCAACAATGCAAACAGCTCCAGACTCAGTGAGACAGCTCCATTTATTCAGTGGGGGCTAGGGAAAATATAGTGTGGAGGCAGTAGCCAATGCTTTAGCTGATAGGTGCTCATAGTATGCTTTATTTACTTGTGGCAGTAGGCTCCTATCATCCGACTATCAACTATCGGGCAATGCCTAATTATCATATAGAAGAAACCTGGGGGTAGTTTTTACTCCAGGTAACTATGCCAAAGGTCATGTTCCAAATAAGGTCCAGGTAAGTCAGGCAGAGAGCCGAGGCCTCCTGCTGAGAAGGGGAGTCCTTCCATTTAGTGGCCGAGCCCCTTAGAGCTATCCAGACATGGAGGACTACAACCCTAGCAGCAGGGTTCCCCAGCAGAGGGTTCCTCTGTATGAAGCCTGAAGGATGGTCTCTACCTAATTTAGTTAGACTGAAGAGGATCTTCCCCAGGCCCAAGGCCAACACATTTTCTTCCCTAGCAGAGAGCTTTAACAAAGCCTAGCCAAAAATTAATATTTTTAAAAAGCATAAGGTTTCTCTTGCTGACTTCAAGGACCAAAAAAGGAAGGAAAGAAGGTTCTGGGACTCTGGTGGTCAGAGACTGAGAGGTCTGATGTACTAGAGGGCAGCTCTGTCCTCTCCTGCCTGACCTCATACTCCTGACCTCACTGGTGGAGGAACAGTCAACCCAAATCATGGCTGTACTCCACACATAGGGCCTACGGCCTACCCATTGTTATGGGAAGAAGCACATGCCCTATCCCTGCTCTTCCTCACACATAAACCTGTGTGAATATAAGCATATGGACACCTGTCTCTTGTCCTTAGTGACTTTAGATGTTATAAGTTCCCCCTTCCCACATCCGCTGAGAGCTTAACTGGTATAGCTAAAAGTTGCACTGCCTTTTGAGTTTTTGTACATGTGTACATGCCCTCCAGCTGCATCCCCATCCATTCAACCATCAGATTCAGGTAGGCCAGAGCTGTGAATGTCTGATAGACTATCCAATTAAAGGTGCCTGAGGAAGCTGGGCATGATGGCCCACACCTTTAATATTTGTGAGATTGAGGCCAGTCTGGTCTACATAGCAAGTTCCAGGCCAGCTGGGACTACAGGGAGACCCTGTCTCGATTCCCCCTCCCCCACCCCCAATAAAAGTGCCTGAGGGAAAGCCTGTTCTATGGTATTTTTGATGGTTCTACCTGCAGAATGTCATATCTTCCCACTTTCTTAAGAGCAAGCAAGGTGGGTACTCTTAAGCATGTATCCATCCCTCATGGAGCCTCCTAACAGGCTTCCCTCCCTACACAATCTGCAGATTGCCCAATGTAAGCTGAGGCTGATGTGTGCACCCCCCACCATCACCCCATCCAAGTTTTCCTCTTATCCAGCAGAATGCCTCTGCCACAAGAGCATCTTCTCCTGGCTGGAACCCTACATGTTTATTTGTTTCAGGATCTCTAACCCAGGCTGTCCTTGAACTCCCCACAAAGTCAAGGATGACCTTGAACTCTTTACCTCCCCCTCTTACTGGGATTGCAGGTGTGTATCACTACCCAGCCTATGTGGTACTAGATATTGAACCTAGGGCCCTCATGCAGGTTAGGAAAGTTCTCTCTAAGATGAGCTGCATAATTCCCCCAGAAGGCAAAAGAGAGCCCTAGGTTCTGTTCCTGCCTGATTTGGATTGTAAAGCATTTGGCCTTCGCAGGGGCTGTGTTGGAGTTTAAAGAAGAGGAACAAGGCTACGGCTAGTGCATGGCAGGACAGGGAACAGTCATACTTCCTGCACTGAGGTAGCTGCAGAATGCTGAAACAGACAACTCAGTTATATCTCTTTTTCTTTGTCTCCAGGGAAGGCGATTGGTGGGAAGCCCGCTCCCTGACAACTGGAGAAACGGGTTATATTCCTAGCAATTATGTGGCTCCAGTCGACTCTATCCAAGCAGAAGAGTATGTTTTATTTTATTGTTCTCACTTAACTAGCTACCTTTAAAAGTTACTTGTCACAATAAAATGCCAATGACATGGCATAAGAGGGAGAAAAAATTTACCAGTGATTAAAGGTTGAGAGAATATAATGCTGCTGGGTTGCTCTGATTTTTGTCATATCTATGTAATACACTGTTATTAACTTAATATTTTCCTTTAGGCCTGTCCATTTTCTTTTTAAAATTTTTTTTATTTATTATATTTTTATGTGTATGAGTATCTTGCCTGCATGTGTGTAAGTGCACCCATGTCATGAAGTACCCATGGAGGACAGAAGAGGGTGCTAGATCCCCTGGAACTGGAGTTATGGACGGTTGTTAGCCGCCATGTGGGTGCTGGGAACCGAACCTGGGTCCTCTGCAAGAGCAGCCAGTGCTCTTAACCATCTCTCTACATTTATTTATTTATGTGCATGAGTGTATTGTCTGCATGTATGTAAGTGCACCCATGTCACGCAATGCCTGTGGAGGTCAGAAGAGGGTGTTAGATTCCCTGGAACTAGAATTATGGATGGTTGTTAGCCGCCATGTGGGTGCTAGGAACCCTGCGTATTTAACCTGGGTCCTCTGCAAGAGCAGCCAGTGCTCTTAACCACAGAGACATCTCTCCAGCCCCAGGCCTGTCCATTTTCATAACTTATTTAGAAGCTTTGTATCAGTGCCCTAGATGAAAACCCGGTAACTTCCTCTAGTTTAAAAATAATATGATGAAATTCTAACTACAGCGTGTATTAGTGAGAATCCAAGGTCTGCTCCCTGGACAGTGGAGAGGCAAATAATTATTAAAGATTAAACCAGGGTTTTTCTCTTTGATACAATCAGTAATATTAAGAATTCTGAAAAGACATACCTTTTGTGCCCCAGGTAAAAGTATTTCGTATATACACTGAGTCCCACAACTTGGAAAATATTGTGGGTTTCCAATGTTCTTTTCCTTTGATTGAGGTCTTAGTGGTTTTTCATGGCTGATAAACAGTGACTAGCAGCTATCTGACCCCAATATTTTACTGGGGGCAGTTTAAGGAAATGACAGGAGGCCGTGGGGTCCTAGAGGGATGACCACCATTGTTCCTTCTTGTTCAGAGAAACTTGTACCAATTCTAGCCAAAGGAGGGGCAGCAATTTCCCATATGGGAGAACTTGGTCTCCTCTCCAGCCCTTGGGGACTTGCCTCACCAGAAAGGGAATAGAGAAAAATCAGTGGCTGAGCCCAGCCTTTGGCTGTGGTATTTAATTTTACTCTAGATTTGTCAAGGCACTGCCAGGAGGATTAGACTCTCCACCCTAGCCAAATCCCCAGTTGGATCAGTCTCTCACCTTTAATTCCTTGTATTTCCCCTCCACTAAGATCTGTTTCCATTCTCCAGTACTCAGTGGTTTTGAGCTGGGTTTTCTCCCCTTTCCTTGTTAATGTGCTTCACTATCAATATATAAAGGCATTTGTACCAAATTTATATTTTAGAGATTTGTAGACATCTTTTTGTTGTTTCTGAACCACAAAGTAGCATTATTTTTATTTAACTGAGAACCTACCACCTGCATATTTAAATTATATTTATAATGATCGTTTCTTTAATATTTTGCTCTTTTAAAGAATAAGATTAAAAAAGAATAAGATGGTTTTTAAAATAATGCCTATGATTTATACATATGGAGTCAATCAGCATTTGTTAAAATACTAGTTAGGGGGCTGGAGAAATGGCTCAGCGGTTGAGAACACTGGTTGTTCTTGCAGAAGACCCAGGTTCGAATCCCAGCACCCACATGGCTTCTAACAACTGTATGTAACTCCAGTCCCAGCGGATCCGACAGCCTCTTCCGACCTCTGAGGGCATTGCACAACATGGGTACACTTACCTACATGCAGGCAATACACGCATACACATAAAATAAAAATAAATTTTTAAAAAAATACTAGTTAGATATTCTAGCAAATTTCTCTAACATAGTTCTAGCAAACCCCTCTCACCACATTTTGCACAACATTTTCACTAAGTTATTAATACACACCAAGAAAGACACTTCACACAAGCAATTGATGTAATAGCCTTTACACCAACTATTCCTAGATTGGGATTGTTGCACATTTTGATACTTCTGAAATGGCTGCGGAGCTAATGTGATGGAGTTTGTTCTTCAGTGAAATGCTTTCATTCACAAAAGGATCCGACAGTGAACATAATAGCTGTGTTCACTAAATGTGCTGAAACTTCATTTTAGAAACTGAAAGCTTTCATAGCTGAGTATTCTAAAAGTTGTACCTACACACAGATTCCAATGGAATGCTCCAGAATTCTCCATTAGGTTCTTGGCACATCTGCTACTCATACAGCACCTAGTGCTGAAATGTAAACCCACTGCCAGGCATTCGTTAGGGCGCAAGAGTACAGTGAGGAGACAGAAGACAAGATCCTGAGGTGGCTTGTGCTGCTTCCTACCATGGCACGGAAGTGTCATCAATTTGTTGCAAGGGAATCTTAAAATGTCTACACCACTGACTCAATTTTAAGGACATGCTTATTAATTGTGCATAGATCTTAAATGTGCAGGAAGCGGTCCCTGCAGCTGTGTCAGAGAGGAGCCATGCAGCAGTCACAGGCCAGGTGCTTGGTAAATGCTTTTCGCTTGTATGAGTCCTCACACCTGCTGGATAGGAAGAGAAAATCAAAACAAGCATCCAAGGACCAGCAGTCATCTCAAATCAGTAGGAGATTTGACAGTTTTTTTCAGAATCCCTATAGCTAGAAATCGACTGGAAATGTCATCCATCTTCTCCTTTATCTGTTCTGAGTTTCTATTTTTAAAACGCTTGATTGATGATCTCTATACCATGACTGTGTTTTGGTATTTCCCAGGGATTGTAATTATGCTCAGAAATCCAGGGTCTTATAGCTGGGTGTGGGAGGCATGTCCTGAAGTTGCCATTTGAAAACAAGGTGGTAGATTTCTCTTTCTTGCATGCACGTGGCACTTTTAACATGAACGAGTTCCTGTCATCCTAGAGGAAGGAAAACAATCCACAATTCAAATCTGTTTTTTTATTAGAATGAAAGAGATGGAGAAAGGATGAATTAAAAAGGAACTAATTAAAAAACCAATTGGGAAGGACTGAGAGCATTAGGGGCAAGGGGATTCCGGGAGGGGGAGGCATCACTGCTCTTTTTACGTAAAGAGGACGTTTGAGTATTTCCTTTCCTCTGTCTCTCTCAAAGGTGGTACTTTGGAAAACTTGGTCGCAAAGATGCTGAGAGACAGCTTCTGTCCTTTGGAAACCCAAGAGGTACCTTTCTTATCCGCGAGAGTGAAACCACCAAAGGTAAGATGACAGAAGGAAGAAGTTGACCTGTCACTCAAATCTGGATCAGTCCTTGGGGATGAAAGGTTTCACTGTAATGTACAAGGACCTTAACTGACACAGTCCCTTGGGCCTTCTGGAGTCCCACTCTCCAGTTCTCAGATTCTAGAATTGCAGGTAGCTCCAAAAGAAATTCAGGGCCCAGGTGGAGACTCCTCCAGAGGCAGGGACCAGACAGTATCCCTGTCCCAGACTCACAGATGGCAGTTTCAGAGATCTTGTAGCGGCAGGTACCAATCACACAGGGTGCCTTGCATTCCATTTGGTGTTTTCTGTTTGTTTTTTAATGGAGGACTTCACTTCTCTTCCCTTTGTTCAGTGATTCATTAGAGTCCACGGGAGGAGATAAATCAAAGGGAGAAGGAATGGTGGTCTGGTCTTCTAGCTTGATGTATAGACACTGGTTCCCTGACCCTGTGAAGTGCTGGGAAGTGGAATTTTGGAGCTCCCTTCTAGAGGAACAACCCTTCATTTTGCACCCAGTACCTGTTCCTCCACCACTGGTGCCTCCACCA